AGTTATTCGGTCTGATGAGTTAGATATAAGATAAGGACTCTTCAATTATCAGGAGGCTTTTAGCTTAGTAGGCATATATATAGAAGTCGTCCATCTGAATGTAGAAATCATGTATGTACATCGAAATTTATATGGCACAACACGAAAGCATATTTATTATATATATAATATGCAGCTCATTAGAATAATAATAGATATTGACAGGATCTGCCCAGTAGTTAATTTATCCCACGTTTGACGTTCGTCGCTCCTGTGGACATTATAGCTACGAGCCGTACGTAAGCAGATGTCTGCACTAGACCGTATTGGCGCAACGCTCAACGTAAAGGACGAACGAGGTGATCATGTATGCACTTCTACACAACCCCCAACTTCGATCATCTGCTGCTTTTATTCATAACGATACAAGGCCAGTTCTACATGGCCGAGGGTTGCTGCAGAACGAGGTTGTGAACCGAAAATATTAAAAAAATATATCACCGTGTAATTTCCAAGAAACAGTCATACAGCGCCAGTATAGTACCAATGGCACTGCATGGATCTGAGACCCTGAAGGTAAGTTGAACAAGTTGTTATAATGGCTCTAATGTTATATACACGTAAATGACTGCTCTACACATTGAACGGTAGTGAACTGTAATATTCTTTATTAGAATTGTTATCTTAGCTGGTGGGTAACAGATACAAGGTAGTCACATCTTGATAAAAGATTCATTAAATGTATACAGGTAACATCAAAAGGAATATGTATTTTTTCGTTTCTCAAAAATTTCAAAGGCTTTGTCAAGGTTAAAGCTTTTTAAAGGTTAAAACAAATTACCGAAAAGCGTCTAATTGTATAAAAAGAAAGGTAAGTGAATACGCGCGTCTCTTAGAATACGATGATATCTCTTTCCATCGTATTGAAATACCATTTAGATATTATTTATTAATCTCTGCTGATGGGAGTCAAAAATTTTATAATATTATTATATAAATAGGACGTATCTTAGTATATGATATCAAGGGGAGTGAGTATATTGAAAAATGCTTCCCGTCAGAGGAATTATACGAATCTCGTTGGACTTATAGAACTAACTAGAAAGATTTAGCAAGATACCCTAATGATGGTAGCGGGGGCCAAGGAACGGCGTTATATCTATCGGTACTTGCTCCGCATCTAAATCGCACGCACGCATGATTAGGCTCATTAAAACCTGGTTTTCAGCGGAGTCCATGGAAGGACTTATGCGCGGCAAAGCGGGTGACAACGACTATGTTTAGCTGGTTCTATTGTTTGCACTCATTTTTTCTTGTCGCAACGCTTGAAATAAAGAAATCCCCGTCAATCTTCCCGAATTTCCTCGTTCTTATGGTTGGTCTTAAAGATCCGTAGCTGGGAGCTCAAAGCAAGGACGTAGATCCTTAAATAACCATGGCGAGTGCGCTACGAGCGGCGAATTCGTGTCCAACATCATCTTTTGGGAGGAGGCCTTGATGCGATTTAATTGTTCGAAATTCTCCACTGTAAGATCTTCTGTAAAATCTTCTTCAATGACGGGTGTTCCACACGTTACGATGGGAACTATTTTAAGGTCGGACAGACGAAGAGCGGTCGCGAGGGGCAAGCGATAAAGCGATTCGATGGCTCATGCGGCGTTAGTCCCCGCATTGAAAAGTCCTGTTAAAGGATATCGCGTTGCATTAAAATTCGTTCCTCGATAGGGCGCGCTTTCCAATTCCACTGAGGCTTTAACCACAGGCTTCCGGACTCACTTCTTGCATGAATATGTATCAACAGTATCTGCTGTTCTATCTATAATGGTTTACACCAAAATTTCGTTTTCCTGAATCCCAGTTGCACAGTTTGACGACCTTGAAACTATCAATAGTTACCCAAAACGCTGTGCTAGATACGCTTCGGGGCGAAGCAAAATTATGTCATTTTATTTGATGATAACTGGATTCCGTTCTCATGGGTAAAAGCCTTGAGAAAAAGAACTACTATAGTTGAAATTGATCAGACTGGTCCTGCATACTTTTTTGCCTTTATCAAGTTTATTAGCTTGCTCGAGGCACACATCGCTCGAACGATGGCAGAATTGCCGGAATCATCAAAATGTTCGATGCACATAGATGACAACATAAATAGCTTGATTATGCTGTTGATATGGGGTATCTCGACTATCGTAACTTAATTTTTTGAGAAGCAGTCGCTAGCGAGTTTTCCCTCTGTTAAACGTACCAGTCAAAGTACTTCGATACGTATGAATGAGGATATCGTTCAGACATCAAATGCCTCGCCCAAAACCTCACTATTTAGTCCGTTCTCAACTTCAAACGGTGGAAAACAGACTTAAACTTTTGGTTTGATTCTTACACGCTGGCCCGATAGCAAAAATGTTCTCACCACTTGCGTCGGACCTGTGTAATTCAAAAATACTGTATATTTCCTCTACAACTTTGTATAATTATACTAAATGTAGTATCTAGGTAGATCTTGGACAAAAAAGTGGTTGGGACTCAACGTATAATCATGATTAATCTGTACGATACTTGCAATGACAAAAAAACAACTGATAAAATATCATACTTTATGCGATCAAGCTGTGACCAGGCCAGTAGGTGTGCATGGAAGAAAAAGCAAGTAATAACATAACGAACGACCAACAAGATACTGTCAATAATGCTTCGATCTATACCAAATATCTGTTTAACAAAAAAAAGTGCTTTCTGCTAGTATAGTCTTGTCTCAGGACAAACCTTAGAGCCTAAAGATGTTTTCCTCGCACAAGTATGGTGAATGCGAAACTGCGGTCGCATTGTTCCCTTGTAGGCTCATAAGGGATCTACCCGATCCGATACGTGTAAGAAGAAAAGTGTTCTGATGTACGCATCAAACTGGTGAGATGTCAAAGATTAATTGCAATCCGAGGACCATCGAACTCAGGAAATCCTTCAACATGTCTTCTATCATTTTGCAACCGAAATAAATAGCTCTCAAGTAAGAATTTTGGATAATGGCTGGCGGTATCGATCCTGAAGAGATTTCTTTCAAAGGAAAATTAATTTGTAATGTGCAATTACAATCTTCGACATACATAATTTGCAGCAGAGAATCTAACAGCAAGAAAGTTAAACATAAACTTTTAAATAGCAACTTAATGATAATCAAGTACCATGGGAATGGAAAAATAAATACGCCTAACCTACCGTGCTGGTTTGTAAAGGAATAATTGTCTTATTGGCGCATACTGTGCATGTATACATTTGAAGGGTTCAATTCTGCTTTCTCTGAAATCCAAACACCACCAGGTAATGCACTGCAAAAGCATAGGGTGAGAGGCAAAACGCTCGAGAGAGGATTTTAGTTTAAAGCTGTGATCATTATTAGCTTTTTTCTATTATTGTCGTGTCCTTGTCGTGTACTATTGTTATTTCTGATTTTGTTGCGTTTGTGTAAAATTTCGTAAATGGAAATAGAATTGGATAAATTATTATACGAATAGGAACATATTTCGGCCACCGTCAACCGATAACACATCTTAGCCATAATTGTCTTTGGCTGCATTTGTTTCCTTATTTCAATAAAATTGTAAAACATAGAGATTTGTTCAGATATTTCACTGATCTTCACAGCCACGTTCTATCTTAAGGCTAACTAAAGGCATCTTGACAATTTAGCACGTCTACTATTATTAGGTTTAAGCTTTCAAATGGCGCCAACGCCGACTCCACGTTGCTCATATTACCCGAGTGGTACAAGCCATCCAGCAAAAAAACGGTCAATACTGTTTCGACAACCCAATATTAATATTGTTGTTTTTACCATATGCAGTAAACCTTTTTAGAGCGACCCCTGCTTAATTATTTGTTTCTAATCCATGCTCGTGTTTTCGTGACAATATCCTACGCCTAGCAACAAAGCATGGTAATGAGGAAGTCACCAACGTGAAAGAAGCTTTGTAGACTGTCCAATATCGTTTAGGTCGTCGGAGTGATGAGCTAGGCCTATTTTCCCACTTTAATCGCGCATCGAAGATAAATTACTTATATGAAGCTAAATCGTCAGTACATAGCTTATCGCCAAGCATTTTGGCTGGAGCGGATTTGACCTTCGTAATAGCTTGGTAGGTAACGCTATTGATTGCTAACGTGTTAGGCATACATTGTGGTCTGGGTTCGAATCTCGGCATTCGTTTCGTGATGACTGAGAGCCATCAATCTGCCTAACGGCGAGGTCGAAGGTAAAACTCGAAACGTAGAAATTTGGTTAAACAAAAGCATCATTTGGTTCAAGAGATGCTGTCTGGCGGCAGATATACACATACCAAAAGTCGACCGTACGATTCAAACGCCATTAAACGGATTATTGAATTAATAAAATATATTCTACTCAGCATAACATTAGATCATCTACTAGGTAAATCAGTAGACAAGCTAGAGGCAGCGAACCTGCAGCGTTCACAGAAAATTAATTACAGTAAAATCCCTTAACTTAACTTCGTAACAATTATTTAAAATTTACTAATCCTCTTTTATGAGGCCATAATATAATTTAATTAATTTAGGCCATTATAATTGAAAATGAACAAGAACAATTTGATAAATAGTTTATTAGAAATACCCAGATTGGCCTATTATGATTTGGTTATCTTGCTATTCTGTCCTTTTAACATATTATCGCATCCAGCTCCAGATTAATCGCAACTTCAACTCGTAATCGAACTTCCTCGTTTCATTAAAGCTCGTGCTCTATTTTTTTGACTGAACGGCTTCTAACACAGTTTGCATATAGACATTTCTTTTCAACTTTAACGACACGGAAAGATATGCCACGATCGTAAAGTTTGGGAATCCTGAAGATCTCGCAGCATTTCAAATGTCGCCCTATGCCTCAAGACGGATCTAGGTATCGCGTTTGAATATTCCCGCGTAGGCTTTATCGGCTGCCTTGGCTGTCAATAGTGCTGCTACGGTGCGTAGTAGAAGTACCGTAGCAGTGTGAGTTCGCCGCCTTGTCAATCCCGCTATTTGACAGTGACGACGAAATAATTTTGTTAGAAGCGCGTTTTCAGGGGCATTCGAATACGTCGAGTAGGAAGTGATCAACGGACCTGGCGGCTGCGTTTCATTGGTCGATGATACGGAAGATATGGGACCGCAGTATTATTGTCACAGTGCGTATGACACATAGTAGAAACATCTGCAGTTTGGAACTGTCGAATTTATGCGACGATGAGTCTTCGGTAGGTCGACAAGAACAACAACAGCAGCAGCTAGTCACATCGTGTATGTTTCACGTGAACAGGATGTTCTTGCGTAATGCCAAATGCAGTTGTGTCTATCTATTGTGTACCATTAGGTTTCGTACATCTCCCTCGACCCATATTGCTGAAATCATTTAGTATTTCAGCAGAAAGTCTTCCAGTGGTGTGCATTTTGTCTCGAATGTATCTTCAGGTGATTTAAACATTGATCTGAGTAGGCAGAATCATTTGCTCTTTTCGGGTCAGAACTAACTATTATTAATAATAAAGTTCTACACAATTTTCAGTATTATCATTGACAGACGGTGGCCTATTACACGACTGGACACAGTCACTAAGTCAGTTTAGCCATTTTGGCCCATTTTGTCCCTTAGCGCTGTTGGTTTCAGTTCAGTTTTCGCGTGAATTACAAATGACTTCGCGAAGGTTAATAGCAACGTAAGCTTAAGCCTCATGAGGTGCTGCGAAAAAAACGAAACATCAATCGTTATAATATAAAGTATATTTGCCTTTATTGTTCCACATTTAGAATCGCAGCAAAGTTTATTTTAACGCTTCCTAGCCGGAACCTTGTTGAAGATATCGACACTCGTATAGCAATTGCTGCGGTGTGTTGGATTTGATGAGATGATTTCCTTTCGTAAGTGTTCCTTGTCCTACTTGTGTTTGTTGGGCATCGAAAAACATGGATGGCCTAGCAAAGAAGCGTCGAAGAGCTAGCCGAGAGGCGAATTGAATCAGTCGATACGACCACGGGACAAAATGCACGTCGAAAGAGAAAGCTCGGCGAATCAGATTGGACGGCGTTGAGACCGAAAAAAAACTAACAACAACCTCTTCTAACTAACAACAAGGTTTCTTGCGCCACTTTTGCTCTAACAAAATCTGCCAGTTTAATAAATAGTTAATTTAGTTTCAGTGCATTTTGAAGTAATTAATTTGAGGCAACAAATCCATCACGAAAAGGAGCGCACGAACGCTTACGCCTTATGCGACAATCAGTTGAATCAAATCATAAATTTCTCATCTCGCTAAGTGCCACCACCCCTGAGATATCGGAATATTTTGTAAATTCTGCTCGTTCACGGTTATGCAGTGGTTAATGGTGCCGATCAATATTTATATTAGACTTTTTCGTAATACGCACGTTTACGACAATCGAAGACGAAAGCGTTTCATTGGGACTATATAAAAATGATTAGCGTCGCAAGGAGCGCAAACCTTGTATGGTGCCTGTAAGATGCGAAGAAATTTAGGTAGTGCACCAAACGCTGTTTCTTATAATATTTGGCAGAAGGTTTGTTTTACAAAGATGTCCATTCACTTTTTGCTTTCTGTTCCTTTTAGGTTCTTAGATACTCCATAGATACTTAAAAACGATCAAGCAGTGCAAAGCCGACTCCAGAGCTTTCGTTTCTTAAAGGATACAAGTATTGGCGATGGTGTTCGCGTGATCTGAGAATCCGAATACCCCAAACATCAAACCACACCATAGCACCGTTCGAGGATCCATGGAGAGTTTGTCGATATTTTCGTCTTACTAGTTTCTTTATTCTCCCTTCCTCCATACAAGCTAACCTAAGAACCTGCAGCAGCGACGACCTAACGTTGCTGGCACTCCTTTTCCGCTCTACCTGACGCACTGTTCCGTGACGTTGGCTCATAAGTTTTGTTGAAGTTGAAAGCAGCTGCCCAATATAGTTAGCTGTGCTGCTGTTCAAACTAAATAATATGCCTTCTTTTCAAATAAGCACGCTCTGATTGGCCGGGACAACCTGGCTGACGCAGCAGCAATAAAGACGGTGCAGACTCACGCAGCCTATGATCGATACCGGCAAACCGCCGGCGAGATAACTATAATTATCATGACACAGTCTGGCTCGCACTGGGCGGACCGTAGAAGTAGGAAGGATCCGCAGGAAAAATCGAATAAAGGCAAGGGCAGAACCCCACTGGAAAAGGAACTGGGGCTGCAAGTAGTCCCGTCACTTGACCAGCCCAGGTGCGTTGCAAGTGCGACGGAAGTGAATGAGGAATATTAAGGCAGAAGTTGAAGGTGAATCGATTGCCGAACGTCAAACCCTGTAGCGGATCTGCGCTTGGTAACCAATAAAGTGGAATGAGCTACCGGAGTACAGGCTACTAGTTTGATAGTTCTGCGGTATGAAATGCGACGCTTCTGATTCACTAGCTCATTTTTAATTCGATTGAATTTTTTATTTTTGAGCGGCAATATTTGAATAGTGTGCACGCAGATTTGCTCGGGTATGTCACTGCAATTTTTATCCCAGCACGATGGTCACGGGAATGAGTGATCAAACAGTTTTTATAATAATGATCGTTATCATTGTTCGAGCACTTATAATGCTATGCGAACCGTTAAACTTACGGCTCTCTTAATTCTATCATTTTTTGTCGCTTGATGTCGCCCGAAATGGGTAAACCAGCAATCAAACCATCGTTTACGATACGTCTTACGATACGCGCACATACCAAAACAGTCGTTCTACCTCGGCGTTATTGCCCCGCGTGTTGTTGCCTGCGATAGTTTCTAATGTGTTTTTTGCCTGTGCATTGAATCAACGAGAACCGATATCTTTTCTTGACTTCGTCTTTTTTTGCCGTTTTTCTGTAGTTTTCTTATTTTCCTTTTTTCCCTCTTTGTCTCTCGCATCGAGGCTTTTAAACGATTCGGAAATGCTAGAAATTTTTTGGTAACATTTTTTTTCTTACATGACAGCAAAATCGAGGGTATGCCTACGACAATGCAACTGAGCGTTATGAAGGAGAACGTTTTGATGATTGGTCTGCCTCCACACCTAAAATTTAACCGAAAAATGAAAACGAAAAAAAAAGATTGAAGCTTCGATGCTAATGCACAGGCACGCTGTGCAGGGCGTAAACGTAGACATGAAGGCATGTTGGCAATAAATGTGAGTGCGAGCCAAAATAACGATAATAACAAAAAGTCGTGTGACAGACATCTCAGATAAACTAGGCGATCGAACGAATTGTTGCAGCCGGAAAAACTGAATTATTGTCATTTACGGTAACTTCGGTTCCTCTGGACAACACGGTGATCCCGTTATCTTTGCCAACTTGTCACGGCGTATGTGCTTGCAGTAAATACTATTAATAGTACGGAGGGGGTTGCATAGGAAATTTTTTTAAAAACTGTTTTTGTAGCGAACGGTAGCTCATCCTCATTGTATCCCGTGGGTAAAGGTCTTAGTTTAAGTTAAGGTGTATGTGTTTGGTGTAAAGAAAATGATCTTACATGTAAAATTATGAATCAGATGGAAGGCTTTTATCAGTCACCTATACAACGCTTTGTATATTGTCGAATATCTTTTCCAGTTATAGTTTTCTGTCATTTCATCTATGATTTGTACCACAAGCATATCATTATATATTGGCCAACATTTGAGGCGTTATTGTCTTTCTCCGTATCTTCAACACTTTCATCAGCCTAAATATCTTATAACGGCAGGGAGCCACGACGTCTATTACGACCTATGCGCACAAGTAGCTCAGAATTTTCGTCCGTGCAGTCAAGACAAAGGTCGACAGTTAATGGATTTCGATTTTTTGCCACGCCTAGTGTCTCAGAACGATAGTAATGTCGATGCGTCGTCAAGTGGCACGATAGGCGTTTTTTTCACTTACTAAAATGATTGCTTGATAAACTTAAGTGCCTTTGGGTTCAAATGTTTCACGCAGAAATGAAGGTCTTCTTCGAAGGGTGGTAGTGGTTGCAATGAGCCTGGGTGTGCGTTCTCTATGAACGATCTGATCTGATAGGCAAGAGACAATGCTCGAAACTGTTGTATTGTAGAGCACTAGGCGACACGTTGTATGCCGATTTTACTCGACGAGATGGCTAGAGACGAGATGAATGAAGACCAACTAAATCCCAAAGGTCATATCCAAATGACTTCGGACGGTTTGACCGTCTGCAGCGGATGGTTTCCCGTTGCAAGCTGCGTATAGCTAATAAACTGGCGTAGAACGTTCGCCTTTCATACGAATTGAAGCTAGGAGAAGAATATGGTGAATTGGTATGCGTTAATTGTACGTCTTTAGGTAACTGTCTAGTGCTAAAACAACTAGATTGTTTACATGTAATAGACTGTTTTATTTTCGCCAACTTTCGTGGTGGGCTATAAAAAAACTAATATTCCACTGTTTCGTAATCTGCCTAGTAAACGTGCGATGTATTCTCTAGAAAACTGCCTAGAAAACGTAAGCGATGAGAAAAGATGCGTTAAAGTTGTTTGAGTCAAGTTCGTAGTACGTTTGCGCCGTTTAGCGAGAAAAAAACTAGCGCACCTGATCATCATGCTCGATTTATGCGCTCAAAAAAAAACCTGTCAAAGGCTTCATTCTTCCAAAAAGAGTTCTGAGATCGCTAGCGTACACAACAGAATACTTATAAAAGTATTCTGTTTCATTACTATAACGTGTTTTTTAGGTGAAGTGGTGGCCCCAGCTTATGTGTATCTAACGAAGTTTACGAAAAGGTAGGCATTTGGACGTCTCTTCATATGCGTATGTTTAAAAATAGCGCGAAATTTACCACTGGCTGTTCTGTTGTTGCTCGCTATGTGGCTACAGACTATTATCGTATTTATCCGTGAGCTCGTTACATAAAATTCTTCGATGAGGGGGCGCTAAAGAACGCGAGAGGGAAAGAAAGCAATGGCTAACCATTGAGAGGTTGTTCCAAAAGAGATGTATTATTCGCGAACAACGAGTATTGCACGCAAGGCACTCGGCAATGCCTAAATATTCTTATAGTCTGTAAAGCCTGTCGTGTCCTAATTATGGCGATGTGTTGCGTACTCGGTTACCTAGGCAAGTAGAGAACGAAGCGGACTGGTTAGAAGAACAAGTTCGATTAGTTCGGTATCGGTCGAGAGTCGGTTGGCTAACCAGAGGAACATAGCCCCAGGGTGGGGATATCTGTTTGCGTACCCCGTACACGTAGATGAGGAAGGGCCTGCATGGGCCAAAGTTTGCTTAACACATGCCGGTGTTGCGGATAATAAATAACTGTACTAACATATTTTTTAAAAGCTCTTTTAATAAAATAAGTTCTCCAGAATTCGGTCATTTTCGACAAAATGAGGCGAGCTGTATATATGTGAAATTGGTAAGAAGTGCGTAAGTACCGTGACTTATGTTCATCATTCGACATGTACAATATACGAATTATCACTTAGCTGAATTGTACTTCTATTTAGTGTTTTCCAATAGTGCAGCACTTGTCTCAAATATCTATGGGGTTTTCATACAATATATAGTTGAATGTACTGACGTTTGCAAACTAAGTTACTTCTATAGCCTTTCAAAATATGGTTTTTAGAGAAGCGAAACTCCGGTAGAAGAACGTGGTGCTTATTTTTCAACGCAACGTGTTCCATACGACACAAAAAAGCCATTAATTAGCCATTTCACGTAGATTCCTCTTTTGCAATTTGCTCAAGGTAAAAGTCCAGTAAGGTGAATTTTGACTCGTGACAACCTAAAAATTCAGAAAGCTTGATAGTATTAAAATTAAAGGATTGGCATTAGGTTGCAAGCAAAGGGAACGCAGTGGCCCATGAAACTTTTATTCGAACTATTATAATATACTGATAATTTGTTTCCAGTCGTTGTGGATCGTAACAGGCCGTGAAACATTACCACATTCGTATGTTCCTGCTACTTTATGTAAGACAAGCAGTATATCACAGACTATCTGATTTCCTGACGATGCTGACATCCGCAGTTAATCATTTAGGAATCATAAGGGCGGTATGAATTACCTATGTTCATATTTTTTTTTATCAAACAATTACTTTGCCAGTCAGTCAGATAGGCTATGCATATAGGCTAGATAAACAATACTGAGACAGTTCGCGGTCAGTTTTCTCCTATTATGTTGTCGCTATGTTTAGTTGATATGAATCCACAAAGCCCGCCTTAGATTAGCGATTCAGATAATGACATTGCGCATGAGTTGACTTTTCAAAGTTGGCAACGATAAATTTAGAGTTTATTTATAAATGGCCCTTATATCTGCTTTGTCAACTGGTTTAAAAATAGATTAATTTAAGACCTAGACCACCATGCAGCTTCCTGATCTTATGCAGGGTAGAGAAATATGCATATTGCTTGTTTGACACGGTCGAAACATTTAGCGCTAGATGTTTTTATGGGAACATTTAGGCTAACGGAGGAACGTCGTGAATATGGACTGTCATAAGGGCACTGGTAACTAAGTGCTGACTAAAGCAACCCATAGTGGTTTCTGAGCTGCGGACGTCAACCCAATGAAAAGGCTAGCAATTTCGATTTTCTTGCCAAAATTTTCAAGCGTGAACACGTTCACCTGTCTTGGCTTTATTGAACTACTGAAGTACATCTCAATGAATGATTGCTCCTTGTATATACATATATCTATACATATATATGTATATATATATATACATATATATATATATGTATATATAGACACACACACAAAAGAAAGTTTCTTCTCAATTCAAGTCATTTACATCCGTGTGGCATAAATCTATATATGTATACTGCATATGTAACTGCAGATAAATTAAATAAAATAGCAGCATTGTTGTTTGCGTATGAATTTCTTTTACAGCCCAATGTCTTTCCAGACTTTACTATATCAGCTCCGGGTTACTTCAAGCACAGAACTAACTTACAAATGACACTGCCAGTCGTAGTTACGTTGCTAAGCCGACCCATAATCACGAATAACACTGGTACTTCCATCTGTGGTGCACTGCATACTTCGTATGTGATATATTCTTGTTTCGTAGCATGTCGCAAGCTTTTGCTGGCATCGCCCTAACTTAGGTACTGATAACACGTTAAATAAATTACGATAACGATTAGAGTTGAAAATTGAAAAACATCTTCTTCGGGTCACTTACAATTACACAATATCATATCACAGAAACCAGCGTGTCTAATTCTAATCCGCGATAACTCGTTCGTTGCTTGTCGTCCTACGGCAACTGTTTTTTTCCCTGTAGGCGATTGGTTTGACGAAGGGTTCTCTATCAGATAGTCATCACCTAAATTACTTTTATTCACACTCAAATACGTTTCGCATCGATCTCGTACGTTTTATGTGGTGTCGTATAACGAGTCTTTTGAAGTTTTGGGTGTGACTCACTTTTCAAACCAGCGGTCTAGTCCTACTAGCAACAGGGCACTTTACGGACATACGCACACAGTTACAGTCGTCGATATCTGGCCTTTTTATGCAGAGCGGGAGCTAATTAGAATAGAAACGTATGACTGAAACCGAAGCTAGGCTCTTATTATAATAATTTTCCATTCAAAACCATGCGTTGGCTCTTTTTTCTTTTTTTTTTTTATAATTTGACCTGCACACAAGCCTCCGTTAGTACAAGCCTGTCAACTAAAGTCGTTGTCAATGACCGTTTTCTTTAAATAATCCGTTATGTAGTAAGACGGTGCACTCGGCGTTAATGGAACGCAATGGAGTTCGAGACGGCGAGAAGTCACTGTCACCACAAGGCCTGGTTAGGATTTAGGCTAGAGTTCCGTTTTCTTGTTGTTTCTTTGCTGTATAAGCAACCTTTGCAATAAGGCATAACAATTACGGGTTCTATATAT